CTTGAAGTCTCAATTGTAGCTCCCATAAGACGGTCATATGTTTGATTAGGGTACTTTTTAATAGTCGCTTTAGCTTGGATGGTTCAATAATTTTGCCCAGACTGAAGAATGTCCATAAATAAAAGAGAATCGGAGCTAATTCAAAGAGTTTTGTAGCATTCAGCATAGGTCGAGATTAAATAATTGCAAGTTCGCTGGACAGAAGACAAATTTTTTAGAATACTTGGGGATGTGTGCAGTAGCCTTCGCTTTCCAGAGTAAAGCTATTTGCAATTTTCTATTGCAATATATTATTGTGATGATAAATTGGAACATTACGTGTACCATCTTAAATGAGAGTAATTATACTTTCAACAATTCTAGATTGTTTAGTGGATGGATACAATTTTGATAGAAAACGTGTTGTTAATCGTAAATATATTTCCAGCAATTTCAAGTTGTTTAGTTTCTTACTAACTTACTGAAGGATCATATTTAATTAGAAATCTAAAATCCAGAGAATCTTAAAAATTCACAATAGAGTATAACATTTGTTGCTATTAAATCAAATTTACATTAATAAAAAATAATTTCTTTAATAGTTTTGCAAATTTGATCCAAGCAAACTAGGAAACGAAATAAAATATCTACCCAACTGATCCGCATTGTAAAGTTTTGAGATAAAGTCTGAGTACAATGCAATATTTCTTAGAACGGCTTTTCAGTTAATAAATTTGTTGCCTTCTGCATTGTTTACTGATCATCACAATGTATCCGAAAATGGACCACGTCTGATTACTACTTTGCCATGCAAACATGATGTTTTGTGATTTGTATAGCACTTTACTGCTGAACTTATTTCATTTTTGGTCCCAAAAAGTGAACAATATTATACTGATGTAATGAATATTGCAAAACTTTATTGGACTTATAAATTTCACACTTAAACGAAGCACTGGAAAAAGTATTTTAATTAATATTGTATGGTTGAAACATTTGTTTTCACCTAAATAACTGAAGTTGGCGCGTAACCCACTTATGTAAGATGTAAATGTCTGGTGTGTATGCGTGTGAATGCAAGCACTTGGCAGTGAAGCATCAACAAATGTGCGAACACACAAACACTCCCAAACATACATACTTTAATTACACACTACGTTTATCTACAAATACTTAAAGAGGATACATGCCAACTTCTGTGCATTACGAGGAAAGAAATGCTTCAATGAATCGACCAGCAAAATTTATTTGCAATCAGCAAAAAGTACTAGGCCTCGTTTACTCAAATGCTCATTGTGGATGTTTTTTTTCAAATGTCCATC